AGCAGGAAGAGGTTTTATAAGTCACAAAGTACAATTCGCGCTCCCCTTTTTCACGCTGTTATAAAACAACGGAAACCGTGCACCAGTGGATAGCACCTAGCAGAAGGATAATAATTATAATGAGGCGCTCAAACGAATGGCGGCGGAATTCACAGGCAGCACGGGGTGCACCAGTTATGTGAGTGCATCGCCAGTAACAACAGTTCCAAACGGACAATGAAGGTGACCTTCTAATCGAGAAATGCGAGTAACTACAGAGAGGCCTAGAAGCGGAGTGCGTGAATACTAAAAAACAATGGAAGCAACATACAAGGAATTGACGAAACGTGTGCGTGGATTTAAAACGTGGCTGCCATAGATGTCTACTGGAATGTTGCTGTCATTGCCACGCGGGAAAAAAGGATCTTCTTCATCAACTTCTACGTAATCTGACGGCCTAAAATTAAGTTTTAGGAGCTCGTAATTTAAGTGCCAATTTTTGGAAACTCACTTCATAAAGTGAAAACAAATTTACTGCTGGGAATTGTTACAAAAAAAGTTCTTCCGTGTTTCGCTCTCACTGGAAGAGAGAGACAGTGTAAGTAGCCTGACACTTTGTCAGCAAAAATATCTGGTCGAAGGCTAACGGATGCTCCCTTCTTCAAAAGCTGCTCAAAGGACAAGCTTTAGACGATTCATCAACACCGCATCAAATATAAACCAGAATTTGATCAACATAAAAACTACTCTTAACTGCGGAAACAGCACAGTGAAAATGAAAACTTACAGTCGGGCGAACAGATGCCAGCTTTTGGATACAATCAATAAAAGTGCGAATAGGAATATTTCGAGCAAAATCAAACAATAGAGCAAAATCGAAGCTCCGATTCTGCAAAAAGACATAATAACCCTGAAAATTTCAACAAACACTAGCAAATATTTCGAGTCCAGTCAGGCTGACAAAGAAGCCATTTCCTCCGACCTGAAAATGTCTGGTCGAACAGACTCATGGGATATCCAGACAGAGGCCTACGCATACAAGCAACAAGGAGCTTGCGCTCTCAGTAAAAAGACACAGCCCCAATTTCAAATCTCCTGTTATAAAAGTTCTCGGGCATTTCTATTCGCAGTGTTTTTTAATGCTTTGTGGTCAGTTCGTTTCAATCTAATTAGTATAAGTCATTTACCTCTAGCAAAACTAATCAAACAATGCTACTCATCCTATGATCGCATTTTTAATGTTGCACTATCAAACAGTGACTCGTCACTAACATTCCATCCTGACAGAAGCCACGCTCCATCACTACCACATCGTTATGATATGTGTAGCATGCAAGAGTTGTTTCAAGCGCTCCAACGGTTTTCAACGAATGCGTTAGGTCATTGTTGATTAAATGAACTTGCTCGGATAACTGAAAATTATCTGGATATTTGGGATCCACACCTGCTGCCGCAGAGAAAGCTTAATTAAATTTCATAATCCTCTAAAACTGCGATGTAAACCACCAAAACTATTTCAGCTTTTCGTGCAGATCTCTCAAATTTCTAAATCCCCGCTACGCTCTTGTGTCCTCGGCTGAATCACCTCAATTTTGTATCTCTTTGAAGGCCATCGGATAAATGTTTCATTTTTCAGTGTAACTACCCACACTGGTAAATAAACGCGTTGACTAGACAATTAATAGGACCCTGTTGCCCCCGCCCCAAGAAACCATACACGCTTAAGTACTTTACTCGTTTTTTAAACCTAATACAATTCGATCAAACTGAACTTCTACCAAGGCCCTCGTCGTTCCCCAATACCCACACCGCAATTTGGGGAAAATACAGCCATCTGCTGGCTTACCGATAAATCAAGACAACAACCCAACTTTGGCATCTCTTAATAAAAACCACAAAAAAAGTCTTTTACTTATTCCGTTTCAGTTCATTTTTAAAAAATTTTTGATATTCCAAATCTAAAAACAGGCTCATATATATTTTCCACGTCTCCAGACCAGTCTGTTGCCCAACTGACTGGATTTCCAGCCATTCGACAAATACTTTGATGCCTTATGTAAACAAAGCAGAAAAGCGAATTATTTTTCTCTTTCAAAACCGGGTATACCACTCAAGAAGTGGCAGTTAAACTAAAAAAAAGGAACACTTAAATAGCAATATCAAGGCCAAGAAGACCGCCTAAACCACTACTGTAGAGCCTTCAGTGTTACTGAGTGCGGCTGTACGAATTCCTACTACACTTACTGTTTTGTGCCCTTACTTTTTTAACGAATTATTTGAAAGTGCTAACAAAGAACTGAAGCATATTGTGCACAAACACACCTCGTCCGCTTCCTGGCTATGATTGAACAAAACACCAATTTGAGCAACGAGCTTCTGCTGCTCAATTGCTTGTATATCGGACAGCTGTCGGCTTAATTTATCCATTTGCAGATCAGCCGGAACGTTGCTATGACTCGGTACAGGGTCACATTTTCGATAAAACTCAAACAAATCCATCGTTTCGTTTGGCAAATGCTGTCGAATGAACTGGGTGCCACCTGCGCAAAAATCCGCCAATGCCTTAAGTAAGAAGTCCTATAAAGTATGGAAGAAAAGTTTTTGGGAAAAGTTCAACTAGTTAAAATCGAAGCCACTAACCATACAGGCTGGAAGTATGATAGCTAGCAGCAACCATCCAACGATGAAGATCGCAAAACCGAGTCCGGAAAAAATTACAGCACCTTTCTTGGACTGTCGACAAAATCCTATCACACCGGCAAAAAGTACCACAAGCATGATCGAGAGCAATGTTGCACACAACACCCATCTAAATGCAATACGTATATGATTACATGGATAACCAGAATAACTTCTACTTCACAGTAGTAAATCTTTGCAAGCTTTACAAACTAGCTCTGCTGTATCCAAAGCTACATCGGCCTTTGTTCGGGCCTGTCAGTGACCTTGGAGTTTTTCACCTGCTTCCTACTCCGTTTTTCTGGCGAGAAAAGCTAGGCGTACCATGCTCCAAAAACCACTTGTATGGTCTTTCAACTCATAGTCATCCCCCTAACAGACCATCATCTGCAGCAGCAAGTGCACACTGAAGTTCCCCGCTGCAGAGACGGCAGAAGCCATGCTGAATGGCCGAGGAGTCCCCGCGTGTCTTCTAATCTACTGGAAAAACAAAAAGATGCTTTAGAAACCAAACTCAGGGCAAATTTTTAAAAAATTGCTGAAATAAACAGAGGCAAAAATAGGCAAAAGCACCGCCTCGAACAAGAGAAGATATTTCGGCCAGGGAAATGCCTTTCAGACGTGATCTCCGTTAGCAATGACTAAGACTAGTTTGTGCCGTTAACGTTTCAGA